AAACTAGATCTAACACATGACTTAAAACCAGTCTTCCAAAAACCTCTATACATCTGAATACTTAAGCAAGAAAGTCATTATATTTTGCTTCCTAAAAGACTAAACTCTAAACATTTCTGATGATCATCAGCCTCTTTCAAAGTTTTCAGCAGCTGGTTTTAATTTCCTCTAGCCTTTTCCAGGTCTGGAAGATCTGCAATTAAGAGACAAAATTAGTGTCAAAATTGGGAAAACTCCATCTCCTAATATATACTTGCTTCTATCCGGCTAAGTTGGATAGGCGAAATTAAGGACATTGAAACAGATGTATCAGAAAGAGCAAGCAAACATGGACTTTTTGTTTACCTTTACGCAAGCAAATAATCAGAATACACGAGAAAATCAACAGCTAAATAAATGTTGATTTGGTAACTTAGAAGAGAGAAAGAAAACGTCAGGCAGATACTGGAATATCGAGGAGAAGGAAAAAAGACACTAGCAGAGAAGAAAAGAGTTGTAGAGGGCCACTAACTTACACACTGGGAGAGACCACGATTAAAGCTAATGTGTGTTATGTGAATTCAATGTACTTATCGAATGTTCATTTTATTCTCGCTTCTAAGATGTCTTTTAGCATTACAAAAAGTTTAACTAAGTGAGGTTTCCCAGTTGGAATAAACGAAAGTTTAAGTCTCTGTTTAGTAACTTGTCCTTGTCCTCCCATTTTCTCGTTTTCTCCTCCTCTGTTTCTCTCCTTATAGTTTATCTAAGCTCCGAATGTTATCCTCCTACACTCATTCCTTTCCTTTCTCTCCCTTTCTTCCAATCTCTCTAAGTTTCTTGTCTCTTAACTGTCAATCGAGTATAAAAAGTTGTTCACATGAGCAAGAAAATGAGAAGCACTAAGTTGGTTCTATTCCTCTCTTAAAGGAAATGAGGGCTGAATAAGTATTTGAGAGCAGCTGCATACTAATGAATTGCAAAGAGAGCTGACTGAAAAACATAGCATTGTCTCTGATGTGTACAACAAATTAAAGATATATGTAAACTAGTCCAATCAGATTGGAAACAACTCACAGAGCATTCCTCCATCATCGCTGCTCTCGTCGTCATCTCCAGTATACTAAAAGAAAGATATACTCAAGTTAAATAACTATGATCAAAGTAACTAAACATTATGTTGCATATAATATTTAACAAATCAGGTTAGGCATTACCGCAACACCCCCATCATCAGAGTCCGCTGCATGGAACAGAAAACTGGATTAGCTTTATGAGAATATCAGGATACAACAAATAACGTTATACATGAGAAGGAGTTGGCCAATGACTGAAAAGGAATGCCATGTAACCAGATCTTCCCAACGTAGAAGAGAGAGAAGCAGGAAGTAGGTGAGGTAGTATTGTTCAATATTCATCGTTATTGATGCGGAGCCATAAAAGACCACTAACTTGACAGAATTTGATTATCACTATGGTCCGAGAAATGAATAGGGAGGGAAGTGATGAAATGATATTTAGAACTGGATCAACTTGAAGGCTTGGGAATTACAAAACGCAAACCTGCATGCCTAATTTTGGAGCACATTATCATTTCACATTACATCAATTGTAAAACTAAAATTTTAGGCAAACTAGGTCCCCCCGGGGTTTTGGTCTAGTGGTAAGACCAAAATGCGCAATGTGCAGGATAGGCCCACATCACGTGTTCAAATATTGATGTACGTAGAATCATGGTATTTAAGTGGAGAAGGGTAGAGGGGCATGTCCATTATCCATCGAGTTGGTATTTAAGTGGAGAAGGGCAGAGGGGTAGGTCCATTATCCATCGAGTTTCAAACCTTCTACTCCTTTAGTCAGGCCAGAAAAGTTTGATAAGAGATGGTCAGACTTAATACACTCAACCCGCAGTCCGATTACTAAACGTTGCATTTTGATCAATCAAATGATACATTCCACACTGAAAACAGAAAAAAACTTGCAAAAAAAAAAACCTAAAAATACAGTTAATATTTCATCTGCCACTTTGCTCCTATTCCAAAGCATAAGAAAATAAAAGAGGAAGGATGGGGATGGTGTTGAATTACAAATTGAAGATTCAACAGAAAAACAGTAGTAAGATTGGCTGAACAGGCAGGAGGCTTACCAGCATTAGGATTCATTAAAATACCTAAGTTCTCTAGTTCTATTTTCCCCCTCAAATTAATGGAAAGATAGCATAAAATTAATTTAATTTTAATGAAGCAAGTGATATGCAGCCAACTCACAATATTCTTCATCATCTTCATCACACCATTTGTTCCAATCGACCTTGAGGTATGGAGCGGGCTTCTCTTCAGACTTCAATATTCTTGGCCACCAGCCTCTTTGCTCCTTTTGGATTGAGCAGAGGATAATTCTCGACCCAATATTAGTTTTACACCGCTGCACCAGAAAGCACTCTGATATCAACCATGAGGATTTTCTAACCTTGAAACCATATTGTAAAGGAAGAAATATCCAGTGCAAAACACAGCTATCTACATTTACCAAACTCTAGAAGAATAAGAAATACAAGCAAAGACAACTTGAAGTCAAAAACATAGGCCAATGGGTTCACGGTCTTATACACTTCCCAAAAGTATGACAAATTTCTATATCCATTTATATAGTCCAAGCCCAAGGCAGAGGGTAGATCTATCTTGATGTAGATCCACCTCTGGTCATGAACCATTGCAAAAAGGTACAACAGCTATGATTGAGTGAGCCATATGCTGACTTTGTGAAACCCATTAGGAACCACAGCAATAAACCAGGCATCCTGATTCGAAACTACTACAACCCTTTTCAGCAAAACAACACCTCAATCCCAAACTAGTTATAGTCAGCTATATGAATCCTTAACATCTGTCCCAATCTATTTGTACCATCTTGTTCCAATACTCAATAACATTCCCATCAATGGGACCGAGAATAATAGGTAATTCGGGATAAAAGGTCTATATACTTTTAGTTACACGCATACAATGAGCTCGTTGAAAACTCACAACAAGACTGAGGGAAAGGCAAGAAAGTTGAGCCATACCCCCCTTACTTCCCTATTGTTGACTGTGTTTTCCTCCTTTTCCCATACTTCGGAAGGAAGAGATCGCTGGTGCAATGGTAAAAGTACTCATCAGGTTCAAGCTGCGGAAACAACTTCATGCAAAAATGCAAGGTAAGGCTGCACAAACGTAAGACATGATGAGGTCCACCCCTTTCTCAAACCCCACCCCATAGCGAGAGCTTAGTGCACTGGACACTAGACAGCCCTTACTCAATAATTTGGGATTCTCCACATTTTCTAATCATATACAAATTGCTAGACAAACACCTAATATAAACATACTAACAACCCTGTTCATCATACTCAACACAATTGCTACATTTTTGTACCCTTTTTCAATAATTTAGGATTTCTCTAATATCTGTACATTTTTCACTTACATACAAATCCCTGCAAACACTGACTTTAACATAAACCTACCATCAACCCATTTCATCAAACTCAACAAATTTACCACAGCCAATAAAATAAACGAAAACCCAGAAAGAAAAAAACAAAACTTTACACAAAACAGTAAGAAAAACAGAGAAAAAAACCTCAGGAATAACATTCCCGTAAAGCTGGAGAGTGACGGAGAATGAATCGCCATTGACACCAATAGCAGAGAAATTAAAAACACCATCTGGGTCACACTTCAATGATACATCTTTAGCATCAGGCAATGATATAGTCAAGTAAACTTTCTCCGATCGCTGAGCCCAAAGTACTTCTGGTTGACGGCTGCACATATTAATTTTTTTTCAAAATTTTCACAGAATACAACTCAGAAAGTGAATTTTTTTTGCAGATTATTGAAATTTATTCAAATGGGTACCTCATTTTTGCAGAGAAATTGAAGATTTCAGTCGATCACTGGATCAATTGATGTCGATTTTTCTTCTGTTTTTCGAGTTTTAGAGCTCAAAATTTTCTTCAATTAGCAGTTCATAGTTGTCACTTTCTCTTTTTAACTTTGTTTTCCTAATCTATTAGCCAAAATAAATAATCATTAATTCATTATTATATCTTATATTAAAAGTAAAATAATTGTTCAAAATATTTTGTCATGCTTTATTGTGTTTAGCCATGAGTTTTTTGCTTCTTGACCTTTATTCCTTTTTCATATGTTTTGATAGCTAAACAATATTTTAACCTCTCAAGATAGGAATATAATCTGCGTATATCTCTCAAGATAGTAATATAATCATATTTTATTTTTTTCCAATCTCTATTTATGAATTATATTGATTATATTATTGTTATTATTATCGTATTACTTACACTTGATTTGTACTATGCACTTTGACTCAATATAAAATTAAAGATTATTTAAAATAAATTTGATCAGAAATAAATTATAGTAATATAGGTAGAAATCTCATTAATAATAAAATAAGAAGTTTAGAATGAAATAAACTATATGTATCTTCCTTTTGAAACTTTAGTAAAAATATATAAGATCGAGCGATTTTATTTTTGAAAAGATTTTCCTTTAATTAAATAAGAATACGGGTATAAAATGATATACATATTAAACAAAGAAAAATTCAAGATTAATTGTTATTTGTATTGGGCTTTTGATTTGTACACATACGTTATAAGAAGATCTGACTTCACACTTTATTAAAAATTGGTTCAAGTCATGTCCTATTTGTGATTGAAATTCATGTAGAAATGTCTATATAACTAAAATTTAATAATGTATATGAGTTATGACCGATGCGATTTTTTATAATTTCAATCTCTAATATCTGAAGTTGTTTCGAAATGAGTAGACGTTGCAAGATTTCACTATCAAGACATGGCATAAATAGTTGCTCCAAATGGGCTATTTGTGGCACTCTAAGATTGGACCTTACATGGACCAAGCCCATTTAATTGGAGTTTGGCCCATTAAAATTTGTGAGGCCCAACGAGGAGAATACATATTCATATAGCTCACCATTTTCATACTTAGTTTTTTTCTCGCCTTTCTTGTGAAACCCTAAACCTCGAAAAGCTTCAATGGCGGTAAGTATTCGATCTCATTTTTCAATGGCTGTTTTATGAATTTTATCTTCTTCTCCTTGTTGTGCTCTTTCTTTGTTCTTCTTCGTCTTTTTTTTTTTCATCTGCTGTTTTCAATTGTGCTGTTCACTGATGTTATCATCTTTCTTCAAGCCTAAATTAACTTGTTTTTGACAAGTTTTTTGCTTTGTGAACACTGTACTGCAGCTACGCAAACTGTATTTATGCAAATTGTGTATTGCTGAGCGTTTTTGGTGCTGTAATTTTACATTTTAGCTTATTACAAATTATGTATGAATTTGCTGCTCGATAGTTGCATTGTTACTTCTTACTGTTGCTATGGATCATAAGCTTGCGATATGTGTTGTATGTCTTGCATATTTAACGCTCTTGATCCACAATGTTTAGCATTTTGCTTCCCGAGATTCATATTAAGCTAATATAACCATAACTCCTAAAGGTACTTTTTTTTTCATTAATTTGATATGAGGATAGTACTTTCTGTTTGTTTTTAAGTATTTAAAATCGAATTTTGGAATGAATGAGTTAATTTAATTTGAGCTCGATTGAAAAGCTTGTCATTTGTCTAGCAGAATTACTAAGTATAAAGTATTGGCGCATCATATTTCATAAGTGTTTGGTACTGTGAATCTTCAGTTTATTACAGAAGTTCGTATCTTGGCTAATATAATCATCATGGTGTTGTACCATTTACTCATTATGTGTGGATGGAAATAAGAGTAGAGTATCACGTTATATTTAGAAACTTTGCGTTCATATTCTGAAAATGTTATAATATTGTGTCATTGCAGACAGTACCAGTTAATCCGAAGCCTTTTTTGAACAATTTGACTGGAAAGCATGTGATGGTAAAGCTAAAGTGGGGATTAGAGTACAAAGGTACTCAGCTTCTCGGACTTGCTGATTCCTAACACTATGTTATTCATTATGGTTTTTGAGAACTAGACTTGTGCATTCATTATTTAACTAAGCTCATTTATTTTGTCTTCTCTTTCAAGGGTATTTGGTCTCTGTGGATTCATACATGAACTTGCAGGTACTACTGTTAATTTGAGTTTTTGTCTGTATAATCAATTTGTCTGAAAGAACATCATCATTAAGTGGATGTATGTGCATGTATATCCTTGTGATATGCTAAACTCTATATTATGAACCATTCACTGTTATCCATCAGTGGCATGAATTGCTATCTAGATCACCACATTTATTATATTGTATTAAGGATTTCCTTTTGCAAACAGATAGAAAAGAATTTGTCCAAATATCAAACTCTGTTAGGACAAATCGTGTTAACTTTGCATTTGATCTTGTAAACCTCTGTTCTTCTTTCTTTATATTCAAACCTGAAGATGCATTCAAGATGCCATCCAATTTTTACATTTGAATTCACGAACTTATGGCGCCTTCCTTTTATTTTAGTAAAGTACAAACAGCTCAAGCCTGACCCATCAATTTTGCAGAAATGCATAGATCATTTCAAAGATAGTCTGCTACCTTGTAATGAAGTAGGAAATAATTAACTAATTCATCTGTCTGCAACACATACTACCGAATAGCTGCATACGTGAAGGTTATCTTGGATAAGGATACCTCCATGTACCTCTGACTACATAAAAACCTGACTGTGGGAGGAGAGTATTGTTTTACAAATGGCTTTACAACTAAAATAAGAAAAATAACAGGCAGAAAACAATACAATATGCAGTAAAAGACAAAGCATATTACATTCATTGTTTGAAGAAGTTATCATGATCTCCCAGTAACATGATTTTTCCAAAGAATTCTGGATCCGTGCATATTTTTGTGTGTAATTTTCTGGAATTGCTTTATTCTTTTTGCAGCTTGCTAATGCAGAAGAGTTCACTGATGGAGTAAGCTCCGGCTCTCTTGGAGAGATCCTGATTAGGTACCTTCATGGCTTTGACTTTTGATCTTGATATTTGGACTGTCTTTGAAATTCATGCAGCAGCTGAACATAATACTCATTCTGTGGTAGTTAGTTAGTATTTAAAAAAACCTAGTAAACAAATCCCTCTCTCCCCCTGCCCTCTATTCTGCCTGCATCAAGGCATATAAAACTGAAGAGACATGCCTAGTTGAAAATGGAGCTCTCATTTATTCCTTCCCTGGTTGACATTTTTTGTTAATTTTTTCCCCACATTTGGTTCGTTTTCGAAGTGGAAAGATGGAGACTCTTATTTTTGCCTGGCATCTTTCTACATGTTGGATGTCTTATGGTGGAGATCATAAATTGTTAATATTCGACCATCATGACTTAATTGTATAATGTACTTGTATTTTCTCTGCTGCCCCCATGATATGGGTGAGTACTCGGACAGTCATAGCATTTCAAAAGAGTCTTGTTGCTAACTAATTCAATCCTTACTCGCGAACTTGATTTCATGCTCCGTCTTCCTTGCAATACCATTCTCTAATTGGATCACTTGCACCATTTCCTTTAGAGGATGGCTGGAATAACCAACTTAGACCATCATTTTTTTGTTTAGAGATTTCCATTTCTTGTTGAGAGAGTAACCTTCGATCTTTTTAGCTCACTTTACAAATTTACTTGTTTATCTGTTTTTTAATTAACTGCATCATGGAAATCACCAAGGTTGAAATAGCTGCTCCTCAATGAAAATCCATGTAACTTCTCTTCGTTAACCTTGGTTGTTTTGCATTTGCAGATGTAATAATGTCCTCTATCTTCGTGGTGTACCCGAGGATGAAGAACTGGAAGATGCTGACCGCGACTAGAAAGTGTGTTGTATTTAGTGACATGGTTCATTGATCAATGATTGGAACGACTTGAGTGTGTTTTCTTAGTTGCTCCTGTCTGATATATGTTGTTGGTAGTCGGGAGAAAATATTAGTGACTCATGATTTGCCGGAGCAAAATGACTAGAAAGCTGTATGATCTCGGATCGCGTTTATTTTTATCATCGCAATCTTCAACCCGTATCATTGACAAAAGTATAGATGAATTGTTAAATATACAAATCAAACCAAACCTTAATTCCCTTGTATCTGAATTGGATTTTGTTCTTTTTACACAATAGAACAAAACAAGAATGGGGAAGCCTCCTTTTTTCATATTGAGGATCTTGATAAACTCAACCATCTTATTTAGAAATATACGTGAGAAACTGGGTTCACTTTAGGAGTAGATAAGTCATTGAAGGAGATCAATAGCATTCTCTACTTTTTGACAATGAAACAGTCTCTCGGTCCCACATAGGTTCGGGGTAAGGTTTGTGTTCATCCTATCCTCCCGAGACCCCGACTTGTGGGATTACATTAGGCATGCTGTTGTTTGTTACTCAGAGGCAGAAATAGGACTTTTAGTTTATGGGGTCTGCACTCTGGACCACGAACCTTTTGGTTTGTTGGGATCTAGATAGATGAATTATACATATTATATGAATTTTGAACACAAATACGAGGTTTGAGCCAAAGTTAATGGGTTTTGCAGAATTTGTAACTATAACGTTGGCTCCGCCCCTGTATTCATTCAGCCAAGTATTCAATCTTCAAGTAGTAGCAGTTGACAGCAAACTCAAATGTGAACCATGTTCATTCTCAAACTAACAAAGAAAGTGCATGGATATTAATGTGGCCTGTTTCAGGCAAACTATATCCTTGAAAACTCTAAATTGTTTTACATCCATTCAGATATACTACATTCTTCGGTGTTCAACAGAATCAAGAACAAAAAACGGATATCTTTAAAGAAAATTTCACGGTATCTAACTGATAACGTTATTTTTCCGCAACCATACACAAAGCTAACATTGAATCGGCTGTTCTTGAATATGTGTAACAAACTCCGCATTTTTCATGGTACCTGACAAAGCCAAAGCCTACGTCATGATTCATGACAAACAAGCACAATCAAACCGATAGGATCAAGCAAGTCCAAGATGACCTCGACCTCCACAATCCGAACACATTATGTTACCAGAACCCCCACAACCTGCAAGGTCAAAGTCGAAGAGTAAAATATCTGGCCGTTTCCAGATCTTTGTCAGCACACATTGACAAAGATCGAGGGAAATTTGAAGGTGAAGGGAATGAAGGAAGAAAATAACATACCTAAGCATCTAACTTTGACAATTATCCCTTGACTTTCCATTATAGAATCAACATATAGGCCCGAACCGGAGCAGGTGGCACAAAGGACAGCGCCTTTAGCTTCACACTCGGGACAATGAGGATTATCTCCAGTATTCTTCTTGGCCAAGGACAATCCAGTTGGCTTCTCAATTCTTTCCTCTGGTACGGATTTATCATAGCAAAACAGAGATTCAAGACTGCTTATATGTTTGTGAGCATCACCAACAGCATTTGGCATTGCCTGCAAAGTTGACACACATGTATAAATCATTTGCAAAATCCAAAGAGATGCAAATCCGAGATTTTTTGTAGATTATTTTCAACCACAGCTTTAGCGATGACGAAAAAACAAATGATGATATATTTAATTTAAGAAATTGATGCATGAGGTCTTAAAATAAAAGATTTGAAAGTGGTGGCCTTGCTGAATCCTTCTGTTTAGATTTTGGCTTTAAGCCAATGCGTTCTCAATGTTGTGTACACTGCAATCCCTATGATTTGTTTCTATGTGAGAAATGAAGTTGGGAGCCTACATGAAGACAAATGTAATACTTTATAGTTGCTTCGTATACATTTACCACACATTCACCCAAGGCAAGGGACGCTAACACATATACTAATATGTTACATCTATAGATAAGTCTAACTATGCAACACATGTTATGTACTAGACAAAGTTTTCCCTGCATGAGATGAGTACATTACGTAGTGATTCAAAGGGTAGCTCGGGTTTCTCCTAAGTTCCAACACATTGTGGCTTAGTTTTCCTTTGAAACTCCTTACACAATCTGTCCACTGTTTCAAGAAGCTCTTCACCATTCTAATCTTGAAGCACTTATATACAAGTTATACTCCAATCGAAAAGGACGAGATACATAGAGGCGTATGCAAGCTGATATTGCTCCATACATAGAACTGCTCATTCAATTGGCTCTATCCGTAGAAACAAACAATATAAGTCTGTAACCATAAAATATGTGCCCTTTAGATTAATCTGCCACCTCCCACCAGTACTGGAAAGCTCTATTCACCCAGTCACATAGCTAGTTTAAAGAATTGAATCCCCTTCGTCGAAAAATTATATTGTGCAAATAGCGGCAAAACCAATTCTTCTTAAAATTATAAGTTGTGGAATCCACATAAAGAGAAAAAAGTAGTGAAGGGGCTCAAAAAGTTTGCTACTTTTGAATTCCTAGTATAAACTCCTAGCTCCGCCGCTGTGTTCACCATTGTATATTTGTCCTTCATATGCAACACTGAGCACTTACAAAAAAAAATGACCACCTCTATTTATCTTTATGTCCTCCTGGTGGCCGTGGCGGAACTACAGTTCTGCTTACAGATTCCACATAACCTAGTAGCTTTAGTGAAGAACTCTATTTATATTAAAAAGTTTACTTAATATGTACAAATAATTCATCCATAACCTAACTAGAACTCAAAACACAAAATACTAGCTCCGCCATTGTGTTCACCGTTGTATATTTGTTCTTTATTCTATGCAACACTACGCACTTATAATTTATAAATACATGACCACCTCAATTTATCTTTATGTCCTCCCCCGGATGAAGCTATAGAGTTCTGCTTACGGATTCAACAGAACCTAGTAGCCTTTGCCAAGACCTCATATTTATATTAAAAATTTCACTTAATATGTACACCCAACAAGGTGTCTTTTTTCTAGAACTCTGAACTCAAAATCCTAGCTCCATCTGTGTCCTTCCAGGGGGCGGAGCTACATTTCTGATGGATTCTGCAGAGCTTTATCCAAGACCTCATATAATTTATCCAGAACACAGCAAGCTGCCGTTTTCCTACAACTCCGAACTCAAAATCCTATCTCCGCCTCTGCAGTCTACTCCCCAAACCAAATGAAAAACCCAGAAAACACTAACAGCTCATTTATGTATCATTTTCTCCAGTAATTCAACCTTTAAATCTTAAAATCAAGCACGCTTAACTTCGATTTTTTTTTTCTAAATGGGATCGAGAAAGCATAAAACAACAACAAAATTGAAGAATTAAGAAAGAGTATCATATAGAAAATTGGAAACAATTCAAATAAACAACTTACTCGTCGTGTTAACGGAGATCCCAAAATGACATTGTTAGACAAATTTCTCAAATTGGGTGTTGCAGAAAACGAACCAATTCGAGAAATTTGTGTAAATTTGGGTATACTAATTGACAAACATGATATCTTTAACGTAGCATCCATTTTTCTACTAAGAAATTTGAAACCCAGTTAACAAATTTAAAGTTTTTTCATTATTTTTCGATGAAATTCATTCTTGTTTTTGTCTCCAATAAACCTTGTAATTAACGACAGAATTCAATTTGGCAACTGGATATCCTTGATCCAACCCGATTGGCCCATTTGAAAGTTTGGACCAGAAATAGGCCCAAGTTTTAGTAGGCCTTAAGGAAAAATTTCTAGAGCAAACAACGTAAATCCCACTGGTTTATACTTTCATTCCATTCTTCCACTTTAGTTTTAAAATTACCTTTCGTGCCATATTTACTTCGCTTGATACATGTATTTCGGATACATGTGAGTCAAATTAAGTGTAATTTGTTCCAGATACACTATATGCAAGTGTGATTCACATATACACTAACTCTTTCATTCGCCTTTCACCCTATGTATTTGTATTTCAGAATGTATCTGGTATTAAAGATACATATATCTAGTATCAAAAGATACGTGTTCACTCTCTCGTTCGCCTCTCATCCTATGTATTTGTGTTTCAAAATGTATCTAATATTAAAAATATATACATATATCTAGTATCAAATGATACTATAGCACTTTGCACTTAGTTTTAATTTAATTTATGTTTGTTGATTGGTTATTATTCTATGATGTCTAGATGTACTAACTACTAAGCAATCTTCCTAGAAGGTGGCTAGGACTTTAGATGCTCTTTAATTTGTAAATATTTCATTATGGAATGGTAATAATTTACAGTTTATTGTCCAAAAAAAAAAATATTAAAGTTTTGTGAGTAGATATTGTTATTATTTCTCTTGAAATACCTCTCAAAGCTATTTTTTAAATTTTATATTTTGAGTTTGAAGTTTAAAATTATGGATTGAATTGTTTGATCAAAGTATTTTATTTTTTTAATTAATAAAGTATTGTTCTTGCATTTGATAGTTCTGATATGTTTGGTTTTGACTTGAATTAGTTATTTAAAAAATACTCATAAAATAACTTTGGTATAGAGTAATTATAATGTCAATTTAATTTATAATTCTCTTGATGACCTACTTGAAAAGGATATTAAAACTTGGAGAATGTACTTGATAAGGATTAAGGAAGGAGCAAACAGACTACAAAAGAGATATTTTAGTTTATTTCAACTCAAATTCTGGGAAAGGATAATCGAGTTTAATAAAAAAATAAAGTTGCTTTCATGTAACTTATAAATTACGTGTTCAAATTATGAAAACAATCATTAATATTTGTATCAAGATATACAGTTTACCAGATTGATTACACTTTTTGAGATACAATCCTTCTTTGAATTCTGCTAATACGAATGTTTTATACACTAGGTTGCTAAAATTGGCCTTTTGTTCTTCCCACCAACAATACTGTCAGATGAATCAAAATCAAACGTGGATCGAGAATTTAAAATTTATAAATTAATAACATAATTCTTAAAATTTATAACATTACATTTCAACAACATAATTTTTTCTTCATTGCCACCATTATGAATAATTAACAACATGTAATTAATTAGTGGTGCCAGTTTGCTGAAGAAGCTGTCTAAGTATTAGAAAAATGTCATACTAACTATGTGATAAAAAAAAATTAATCTAGGGAAGTGGGGAAAAAA